ACCTACTAAATGGCAATACCCAAGACTCTTTGATTTCAAAATCTGTGCTCATTCCATTTAATCAAAATTATATGTAGGAGCTCTGGTGCTGCAATGGTCAAAGGATTCAGCTGAGAGGTCAGTGGTTTGAACCACCAGCTGCTCCATGGGGAAAAGATGAAGCAGTTTGCTTCCATAAACATTTACAGCCTTGGAAACCCTATGGGGCAGTTCTACTCTGTCCCATAGGTTCACTAGAGTCAGTATCAACTTGATGGCAGTGGGTTTGGTTTTTGGCTTTGATACCTCTATATCTATATAATCATACATATAAAATAGAACTGTTTAAAAGAATTACATATGCTGATATGGAAAGATTTCCAAGATACATAATTAAGTAAAAAAAAGCAAAGTACAGAGTAGTAGATATAGTATGATCCCTTGTTTATAAGTAAAAACACCCACAAAATCATACATACACATACATATACATCACTGGTATGTACACAATTTATTTCTGTGGAAGGAATTACCAAACCTTGATCATTGGGAAGGGTTTAAGGATTGAGCTGTTAGAAAGGAAGAAATTCATATTTCACACATTGTATTCTCCTCAGCATCCAAATTTGTTTAACCAATACATTTATTATTAGTAGTAGTAAGTCAACAAATGTACCTGAGAAATGATGTTATGGACCATTTAAAAATATCTATCTGTATTTTTTAATGATCACATATTATTGCATAAAAAGCATAAAAAGAATGGTCCTAATTGTACTTTTTCCATCTCGTATATCTTCAAAGATAGTTATATAAAAAGATGCCTACAATTTGTGAATTAAGAATGCCCGTCATTTCATTGGTTAACCAGTCACAATGTAGAGCTAGTCTGCATTCAAATCCCAATGTGCCACCTACTTACAAGATCTGTGATCTTGGATCTAGGTGCTTCATTTATTTAATTAAAAAATGGGAATAATAATACCACCACTCTAAAAGCCTATTGGGAAGATTAACTGCAAATACATGGTCTAGTCGATTTCAACTCATAGCGACCCCTCCTTGGGTTTCCAAGGCGGTATCTCTATGGAAGTAGATTGCCCGGTCTTCCTTCTGAGGAGTGGCTGGTGGTTCAACGCCTTAGGCACTACACCACCAGAGCTCCCACATGTAAAGAGCTTGGAATAGTACATACAACCTAGTAAGTACAACATGTTGTTGTTGTTGTTATGTGCCAGCGAGTCAGACCCAACTCATAGCTACCCCTCCTTGGGTTGCTGAGGCAGTATCACTACAGAAATAAGATTGCCCAACCTTCCTTCCGAGGAGTGACTGGTAGGTTTGAACTGCCAGCCTTCTGGTTAGTAGTCAAGTGCCTTAGGCACTATGCTACCAGAGCTCCTAAGTAAACATATATGCTAGCTGCTATTATCTTGATCATCATTCTTACTTTTTGATATTTTTCAAGTGATTGCATTACATGACACAAAATACTGCCTTCCCCACTCCTCACCAACCTAATGGGTTAAATGCTTCTTCACCAATGCAAATGGACTAGGTGCAAATCAAAATCAAAAGTGATAAGAGAGAATCTGAAAGTTTGATTCCTTTCTTACAGTAATATTCTGCACTATGAATTCAGGAGCTTCATCATTTGTGGGGTTGATTATAACATAAAATGGTATCTCCAAGGAGCGTTGCTTCCCATCTGTGACGTACACTGTGAACTGGTCAGTGGTTGGTTCTATCCGCAGATGCTTAGACTGCACATAGTTAATGTGCAATGCCTTCATGTCTTTCCACAGGAATGAAGCTAGAGTACACCAAGATGAAATAAGAAATAAGAAAACATTTTTCCAAAGTTACTGATCCTCAATCTTAACCTATTCCCTTAACCCCAATAACCTATTCCCCAGCAAAGCAAATGAGAGATCGTGGCAATTGACATACATATCAGCTATCAAGGGCTACTTTAATGATTTTCAGCATCAACATAAAGGCAGATATTCATGGATCATAAGAGAGGATTAAAATTTGCTTGGAGAACAGAAGGGAGATCACACTAACTAGGATATACAGACCCTTCATGGCCACTCTTCAGATACCTAGAATGAATGTCAGAGAGACCGTCCCTTAATGAAAACCATTGCTTCTGCATGAGCAGTTCATGCCATGCTTGGCTAAGAAAGAGCCCAGTTCTTTTGCATAAAGGCAAAACAAGAGCCAGTCCATCATCTGCCTACTGTATGCTACATAGATATCAAGTAACTGATTGGATTGAGTAGACTTAGCTGACCTGCTCTTTGGTATTTTGACATTGCCTTAAATAAAAAAAGAAAGAAAATTTTCTAAATTGTATATTAGGCCCCAGAGAAATTAGATAACTTTTAATGCAATTAACCTTAAATCCAGCATCTCACATATTTAAAATGAATATGCCTCATATAGTACTTTGGAGAAGCATTTACTTCTGAAGTGTTATCTTCAGAAGACTTTGTTTTGTGTGAAATACAAGCACTATTTAGGTATCTAAGTCACATTTTGTCTTCAAAATTAATATGTCAGCATTTCAAGGAGTTCTGGTGCTATAGTAGGCAAGGTATTTGGCTGCTAACCAGAAGGTCAATGATTTAAACCCACCAGCCTCTCTATGAGAGAAAGATGAGGCAATCTACTTCTGTAAAGATTTACAGTCTTGGAAATTAATGGGGGTTGCTATGAGTCAGAATCAATTCAATGGCAGAGGGTTTGGTTTCTGTTTTTTGGGGTATTAGCATTTCAGTCTTTCTCTCTCTGTTACGTTACACCCATGGAATATTTCTCTGTATTTTCCACTAATACCTATTAAAAATACTAAAAGTTTGTGAGAATGCGACCTTGTTGGTTCCCACCTGATTTATTCCATCACATTACATTGTGTTGCTGTGAGACCCTTTTAAAATATTTCTTCAAAGTTTATTCTCATATTTTTCATAAGTAAAATTTCCATTTATTTTTAAAGTAAATTCACATGCACAGGGAAATCAATAATAATAATAAGAAGAAGAAGAACAAAGAATAAATAGGATTCAAAAGTATTAGCTATAATAATAGTAATTTCTTGAACATGTATGGTGCTTTCATAGTCCTTATCTAGTCATCAAACATGATGTGGTCAATCCGATGTATAAACACAGGTGAATTATCGCCTGTCATGAAACCATGACTTACCTATACTGATGCCCATATTGCTTTTCTCAAAACCCTCAGAAGGGAGTTTGTTTTCAATGTAACCAAATTGGGGAGGAGAAACCAAAACAAATTCCAAGTCATCTGCTGCAGTGTCAGGATCATTGGCAGACAAATGGTTAATGGTTACCACTGCTGAGAAACCTTCTTCTACAACAAACATGGTACCTACATACAAATAATAACACAATTATGATTTAGCATGGAATCCTCTCATCAGAACAGTAAGGACAAAAGGGAGTGATTAAAATTCCAATTCAGAGAAGCCTCCCATATGCAAATATACTTCCGTGGGAGATGTTTATTTCTTTTGGCATAATTCTCCTTACAGTGAAAATATTCAGGGTGGAATTTAATTTGACTTATGGAATTGTATTTTTTTTCTAGTACAAGCAGCCAGACTACAATGGAAAGACAGCAGAAATGCTAAATGCTCTTGTACAGTCCTTTAGTCATTCTAAAGAAACTGATTTCCCTTGTGTCCCTATAGAAGTGACAAATGGAAATAAGAATTGCCAAACTGTTTTAATGATAAGCCACTAAATGTAGTTTATGTATTCTTCAAGATCAGTTGTTACCTCTGTTTGTCAGAGCGTTAATTGCCTGAGAGCTATTATGAATTACTCATAATGAATATTTTTTTCATGCCTTGGTGTTTAATTGTTCTGCTGGGATAATGCTTCCTTTCTGGAACATTGCTTTGGAGATAGTTTGCAAATTACAATAACATTCATACATATGTTTGTGTTTTTTATTTTTTTTCCCTTTCTGAGACAGAACATACACATAATGCCTATGACAGGAAGACTTTCTGAAAAGCAAATAAGGTTAAATGTACAGTCATGCATTGCTTAACGTCCACGATATGTTCTGTAAAATAGGATGCTATGTGATTTGAATACTGTGTGAACATGCTTAAGTTGCAAGTAATGGCATTTGCTGATTTTCCACGTTTATGTTTAATAACCTTTTGTTTCCTTTCCAAATTGATGTTTCTCCTTTTCCGCTTGCTGCTGCAAGCACTGGTTTTGCTGCATTTGGGAGCCATGATGAACTTCATGGTAGTATTTTCAAAAGAAAATTAAACAGAGAGATATTGCTATAACATTCGAGAGACATACAATGCATGAGATTGGATGCTGCTGCCTGTGAATTGAAACATACACTGATATAAACTTTTATTTGTAAATTCATATTAAAAAAATCATAGAAAGTACAGTACAGTACATATGTAAGCCAGTAACATAAGTGTTTATTATATGTACTGTACCATTATATGCTTGGTAGCACAATTACTTTGTATACAAGAGACATGAGATACACATGATACATGTGGGAAGCTGCTGTGTTACAGTTACATCTGCTATGTCCCATTCTCTGGTTGGGATCTCTGAATTCTACTGTAATCTTATGGGACCATGGTTGGACATTGCCCGAATGGACATTATGCAGTGTATGACTGTGTATAAATGGTCTCTCTAGTATACTCATTCTATCCTAATAGAGATAATTATGGATACAATAAATTAATCTCTCTCCAGAAGGTAAATAATATTTTCCCATTTGAAATAAACTCAGCATATTTGGGGATTCTATTATTGTCCTTCTTCCAATACACACAAACACACACACACTATCTCCCCCCACACCCATACAGAATTATCTAAATTTTCAAACAAGTAAATTCTTCTGCCCATAGTCTTTTATACATAGGGAATTTTCCACAAATTTGTGTTGGGGCAATTATTCAAGGGCAAAACTGTAGGATGGTTTTCTGTTTGGACTATATGTAAGATATATTACTTTTTACTAAACCAGAAGTATGACACTGGGTGGGGTATTAGGACAGAAAAAGTCATTTTCACCAATTGCAATCAAAGGTGGCTGATTGTCCACTGGATGCACTGTGACGTTGAGGTCATACATTGGAAAGGACCCATGAAGAGGAACAGATGGATGAGATCCATTGTAGCAACAGCCATTCATGAAAGGGCCAGCTTGTCCATCCGAAACCACCAATGTAATGGTGTCAAAACAGGGCATCAAGCCAATCTCGCCACCTGGAAGGCACAACTATAGCTGAAACCTCACTTTTTTTTTGGAGGGGGGAAAACATAGGCTAGCAAAATGGAACCTACTCACACCTCTCCTCTAAGTATAGAATGGCAAGGAAAATAACCTATGTGGACAAAACAGAAAATTCAGTTTTATCACTATGCAATTAAATACAGCCATGAAAATAATGCAAAAATACTTGCCCATCTGCTGCCTCTGGTGAAATCCCTGTTGGTCACTTATCACCACATGAAGGGGGCAAAATGAGGCTAACAAGGGTCTGACAGTTCACAAATGAACAAGGGAGAGGCTTGAAATTAGTGATAACTTCATTCTTCCCTTTCAGTTGTTTAGTGTTAGGATCAACCTCAGTGCAGTATAGTAAATTACATAGCATGGCTTTTCTAGCCATAGTCTTTGTAAACTCTGTGTGGAATTTGCTGTGAGCAACTGAGTAGCTCCTGATTATTGATGTTATTCACCTGGGGTATTTCTGTTGCGAGTAGCACAAAGTAATCTTCTGGGAGTCTTGAGCTCTCTCTCAGGTGTATAGAATTCTGATTTTGGGATTGGGTAGTCTGGCCTTTCTACCAGGCTCAAAAGGAGCCCTCCTAGAGGCAGAGAATCTCTCATTGCCAGCTGAGAGACATGAGAGACATGTGTTGCTGAGAGAGACGTGAGAGACATGCACTGCTGAGAGTGAGACTGTTGGCTGAGAAACGGCAGGCTGAGAGATGGCAGGCTGAGAGAGACTGAGCGTGTTCCTGAACTTGAATTGTAGCCTGTGGCTTCCCTAATAAATCCCATAATCTGTGAGTTCTATGTGGCCACTGCAGAGAATGATCAAACCCAGCAAAGAGGTAGTGGGTGCTGAGGGAGGAATGGTTGGTGTCAGGGTTGGTGAAAGGACTGGAGGGAGGCAGCATGTCTGGCCTTGCAAGAACAGGCCTTCGGCTACTGATGGTGATTCTGTCTTGTGGGATTAGAGGAGGTCAGAAGATGGGGCCTCCTTGCCCCTTTCGCACTCAGGTAAAGGCAGAAGTTGCCCTTGTCCTTTTGATAAGTGTTATCCCATTCACATTAACCATCTTAAATGAATACCATCAACTACATAGCTGTTATGACAAACAAAAGAAGATAGGTGAAACACAAAGATAATACTCATTTGGATCATGTGTTTCAATATTTTCCCCCTTATTTATTAGCCAAGATGTTTAAATAAAAATTTTAAAAAGGCAAGAGTGCCTGGAAAAGAAGTGGCATGTATTTTAATTTTCTTCTCTTTTACCCTACAAGGGGTTACCCTATGAGACAACAGTGTCCTAACAAATCATTGTTTTACGAAATACATTTGAAAAATATAATATCAAAATGTTCTCTCCTATTTCTGAATTAATCCCTGGCTGTTGCATTCCCTCCTCTCCACCTCATCCTCATTGTCTCTTCAATTAAAAAAAATGATTTGAATTCTGATAGCTCTTATTTCCTGTATCACTCACCTGGCTTTACATAACAAATTATACTTCCTCCATGGAATATATAATTTAAAGAGGCATATGGAAGAGTAATGGGAGCTCTGGTGGCCCAATGGTTAAGTACATGGCTGCTAACTGAAAGATTAGCAGTTCAAACCCTCCCATTAGTTCCTCAGTAGAAAGACTGGAAGATCTGATCTGTAAAGATTACAGCGTAGAAAACCCTATGGGCAGTTCTACTATGTCATATAGAGTTGCTGTAAGTCCAAAAGTAGCTCTGGTGGTGTAGTGTGTAAGGCATTTGACTGCTAACCAGAAGGCTGATGGTTCAAACCCACTAGCCACTCCTCGGGAGGAAGACTGAGCAATCTACTTCCTTAGAGATGCTGCCTTGGAAGCCCAAGGAGGGGTCACCACGGGTCAAATAGACTTGATAGCAATGAGTTTCATTTGGTTTTGTTTATAAGCCCAAAATTGATTTGAGGGCTACTAATACAACAACAATGGAAGAGTAACTAGAAAATTATAATAGAGTATAATAAAAGTCAGTTAGGGGATGCCTATGGCATTGTTATTAAGGGAGCATCCCCACCTCACCTTCAGAAGATGTGTGAGAAGAAATGCTGTGATGTATGGATGAATGACTATGTCACACTGCTGTCCTTGGAAGGAAATGGATTTTTGTCCACTTCAGTTAAAAGCCCTTCACAACAAGGTCTAGATTACACTCTTTTGTAGCCCCACAGTGCCTACTGCTGTGCCTTGCCGATACCAGAGGCTGAGTTACTGTATTTTAGTTGAATATTTCACATGTGGAGCAAATATCACCTGGGTGATAGTCTAATGAGATGACAGTAATGTAAGCACAGCACTAGGAAGCAAGTGTTTACTGTATATCTAATCTGTGCTCACCACTATTATGTGCCGTGGGCAAGTCATGCAAACTGAAGACATAATCTTTGCTTTTCAGGCCCAACAAACAGATCAGATACTTCTTAGGAGTTAGCTTAGTGACCAATAGACTTTTAAAGGTAACATAATTGTCTTAGGGACTTTACTTCAGACATTTCTATTATGATTTATGAATCCATAAACTATAACGGAAAGAACCATGGTGGCACAGTGGTTAAGCACTAGGCTGCTAACTGAAAGGGAGGTGGTTCTAACTCACCACTCACCAGCCACTCCACAGAAGAAAGATGTGGCCATCTGTTTCCATAAAGATTTACAACCTTGGAAACACTATAGAGTAGTTCTACTCTGTCCTAGAAGGTTGCTATGAGTCAAAATCAACTCAGTGGCAATGGGATTTGATTTGGGTAAGTTATGATGGTGAGCCATTGTGGCATAGTGGTTAAGCACTTGATTGCTAACCAAAAGGTTAGTGGTTTGAACCCATTCAGTGGCTCTGTAGGAGAAAGCCCTGGCAATCTGCTTCTGTAAAGATTATAGCCTAGAAAATCCTATGGGGCAGCTCTACTCTGTCACATGGATTGTTGCGAGTCAGAATTGACTCAATGGCACTCCATAACAATAATAAGATATGATGCTCAAATAATAAAGTCTTCAAATTTACCAAAATAGAGATGAGAAGAATCACAGGTTGAATTGAAAGGCTAGGTGGTAATGTCAGGAACAGAGCAATAAATCACACCTTCCCTTTCTCCATTCTTTGAACCTATTATAGTGAGATCAGAAATACCTCTAAATATGGTGATCATACTTGAAAATTGGAGTATGGGCTACTACTACTGCTGCTTTTTTAATGACAATGCATTTCAAGATCATTTGATTATGGGAGCCCACAGTGGAAAGTAAGGGTGAGAATCTCTATTATTTGCATTCCTTTTCCCAAACTAGTCCTGATGTTTATATCACTTACCTGTGTGTTTATATGTCACAGCTCCTGAGATAATATCTCCCTGAAAGAACTGATCCGTTATAATGCCACCTTTTCTCACCACTCCATGCTGAGGTTTCCGAGCAATCATAAACATCAGTCTTGAGTCATCACTGTCCACATCAGTAGCAAAAATGTACTCAGAGGTGATGACCACCTCTTTGCCCTCTGAGCAGTGCATCATGGGGATGAGGTCAGGCTTTAGGACTGGTGGTTCATCATTTACAGGGAATACCTAAGCAGGGGGGAAAATGCATGTTTTTAAGAAGAAGAAAGAAGTGACAAATTGCCCAACTTGTAACCCATAGCTCATAATCAGAATGACAAGCATTTTTGATCTTCCAGACACATGAAACAATAGAGATGGAATGTGGCCAAGCAGCCTGCATCTTCTAACTTCCCCCATATGAACCATCTTGCAAGAAATAACCCACGTGGGAGACATTTTAGGTAGGAATGGGAGGGTATGGTTCTGGTTTGGGACTCACAACTTTCATTTGTTTATAGACAGACAAAGTACAAATGTAACATAAAACATTCTTCACCAAAACTCCTGGCCTCCTTCATTAAATTCACACACACTTAATTTCCCTTTATCTGGGTCCTTGTGAGCCAATGCAATTACATTTACCACATCCAAGTTATTTTTATTTCAAATTATTTGGTGATTACAAAGGTTTCCTCTACCCTCAAGCTCCTGGCCACCCAGGAAGTTACTCTGGACTTACAATAAGCAGCAGCTGCATTTCAAATGGCCCTAGGGGATGGCCTCAGGGCCTCAGGCAGTCAGCTGCCATATCCAAGTCTGGTGGTTCAAACCCACCAGCCACTCCTCAGAAGGAAGGCTGGCCAATCTACTTCTGTAGTGATACTGCCTCAGAAACCCAAGGAAGGGTCACTATGAGTCGGGTCTGACTCGAGGGCACATAACACACACACACACACACACACACACATGCATTTCAAATATTTTAAGTTAAATTTGAAACCAAATAAGCATTTAATCAATATCAGGCTTTAACTTGACAAAATGTTTTTCCCTTAGCATCATGAAAAGAAAACTCCAAGAAACAAGGAAAAAAAAAAAAAAGCAACATGGGATCATACCAACTCTGAATTTAAAAAGATAGCATAGAAATTTTTGAAAGCATGTCATTTAAACAGAAATGAAGGCCAGCCCTCCTCAGTTCACACTCACACTTGGGTATATGCCATAAGTTTATTTGTCAAGTCTGGTCTGGGAATACTCTCAACCCTACATTTCCTTCCTCTACACATCAACCAGTTTGAAAAGGAATGGCGTGGCATTTATCATCACAAAGGAGGTTTCAAGATCTGTCCTGAAGTACAATGCTGTCAGTGATAGGATAATATCCATAC